TTCCCTTTCTATCATCAGGCGAGTCTATGGCTTAGGTGTAAGATTACATCTAGTTTCAAATATGCTAGTTTCAAAAATATCCAGGGTACCAATTTCTGGTCATATTCTAGCCTGTCTGATGAAATCGAGGCCGCAGAAGGGATTGGACATTGACTTATAGGGTAAAATCTCTGTCGGAAACCACATTAAATTTATTTTTTTTGGTTGGTAAATTTTAGGGGGAGTGGTTAGTTTCACTTTACACTCGACTATTTTAAGAGCTTCAGAAGCAGCATCTTTCGGCCTTTTCAAGCCCAACTTTCTAATCAAACATTACGGTCTTTGTGGTGTTTTCCGCTAATCTGTTTTTGTGTTTTATCTGAGTGTTACGTTTGCCCGTAACAATAGAGAATACCACTCAAATAACGGTACCAGATCCCTTGCTGAAAGCTAGAACCGACCTTCCCAGGCTAATACCAGAACAAGAACAGAGCTCGAGTAGAGAGCTTTATTCACGTGAGCCACGTGCAGAGAAGAAGCGAAATTGAAAGTAATTTGAAAGCTATCTCAAGTCAAGGTCAACCTTGACTTGATAAAAGCGTAACAAAACAAATGTTAATAAATTAATGTAAATAAAATCAGAAACCAATCTTGGGGAATCGTGGATCCCCAACACTGAGACACTAGCATTCTCCTTCATTCTTCCAAACGGCATTCATTAGATATCGTTGGGACAGTAAAAAAATTGCTGACGAAATCCTTTCATGTAAAAATTGCGGTCACAACCACGTGTTTGTTTTCAGACCTCCAATGTTTGAATTCTGCACGAGTGTAGCAGCTCAAAAATCCCAGTTTCAAATTTACCAACGTAATAACATTAATTGGCTTGGTGTGACTTCTCTTTTACATTTTTTAATGATATGGCGCAATATTTAAAAGCTTCAGTGCCTCTGGAGTCCTGACTAAGCCGTGTATCCTACAGTTCTGTGCTTTTGTTGACGGTCCTATTTTATTTTACCAAACCTTTACTTCGATGCAGAAAATTATGAAAAAAATATGCTGTTGGATGCAACTGAACTTTGCAGAGCTTGATTTTCACACTTGTTGCCTTTGACTATATTTTCCTCAAACTGTTGTGACATTGACTGAATTAATGTTGTGCAGGTATTTCCAATAGAATAGGCTTAAATTTGTCTATCTCAAGTAGGACACGACTATCTGTTGATTCCTTAAATTAGAGCACCTATTACGAGGAAGTCTATTGCGTTTTTAGCGATAAGGTGACATTAAAGGGTATATCCTCTTTACGATGTTAGTGTGCTTCATTTTAAATGAGCACTTTAGGCAAAGGCAAATGTCAGATCCTAAACCTGGGACATGATTTGTACTGCAAGCACGTAGCATAAACGAAGGACCCAAGTGTGCCAATGTTTCATTCTGCTTATAAATAATCTAGATTATTATCGCAAGGACCACTGAACGGGATGCATGCTCGCTTACTTTCGGTTCAATAAACAAATCCTGAGACTTTTTACTCTTTTTTCTTGTGCATTATTCCTTAATTAAATTAGATGTTTATCCCATATCTGCTTAAAGTCTGTGAGAGAATATGCTAGACTCTTCTACCAGTAGGTAGCAGAAAATGCCCGTCTGTATATAGCCTTTTCGAGTTAATTGTTTAACAATTCAACTTTAGATTACTTTTGAGACCACAGAAACTTAAGTTCTATTTTCTTGGTGGCGGCATTGTTTGTCGATTCACTGCACGGTAGAGACAGGGCATTTTGGTGCACACAACATTCCAACCAAAACTTTACCGCACGAGGACACAAGTTCAGATGCTCTTTGCTCATGTGGCCCACTACAGCCCACTCGCGAAGAATTCGCCAACTAACTGTGGGCCCGTAGATAGTGTTAGCAAGTTCACATTCAGCATGAATGTATCTTAAGCTGCTAATCGCTCAGTGATCGAACCCGTCAACTAGTGCGGTTTCGATGGATTAATTGCTACATTTGCCGTATTACCCCTTCCAGCAACTGTTTGAAATGTTACTTTTATTTAAGTACTTTGAGTCTAATAAACGATTAATGTGGTCACAATTGTTGCACACACGGCTCGAGTCAAGACGTAAGACGTTCTTTACTCGAATTTGTGATACATAAATAAAAGCTGGAGGTGGAATTATCTGGTCGCTTTCCCTTATTTGCCCGACCACTAAAAATGGCTACATCTGCAAATAAAATGCAACGAATTTGAGGTACATTAATGTCCAGTTTACATCACAGGATTAGCGGGTGAGACACTAATTATGGGCTTGTAATTCAAGCATCATTTTTGGTGAATACGTTACCTGCTTATAGCCATAAATATTAGCTGCTGACTTCCTTCATACATCATAAATGGAGGTTATAAAGCCTGATTAAATTGCTTCCCCCTTTAAAATGTGGATTTGATTGGCAATCCAG